AAAAAAAAAAAAAAAAAAAAAAAACAGCTTACGAAGTACGCGTATCCATACCCGTTTACTGCAAAATATTCGAAGGATATTTCAATAGAATAAGATATTCTGTAGAAATATAATAATCTATTTTATAATAAATATTCTAATAATATATATTCTATGAAATATATTCTATAATAATAACAAAAATAATAAGATAGTCTATAGAAATATAATAGAATAAGATATTTTATATTCTAAAAATTCCAAGATAAAAAGAGAGTTTATTACACGGAATTAGTCTTTTGCGAATTCTATCAATTCACTCAACGTTTCGTACATCAACGTCAATGTTTGAATTATTCTACAGCCATATGTACAATCGCACAATCACAAGCTCCAATTATTCTACAGCCATATGTACAATCGCACAATCACAAGCTCCAATTAAACCTACACGCAACATTTACTACATCATCGCAGAAATAAGAAACCGCGAGCGAACGCAATAAAGTCACGCGCAAACTGTGTTCGACGAATCTTTCTCGATTGCCGAACGGCAATGTTTCCGAGGACACAAGGGATTGGAGCCAAACGTTCGTAACTTTCGTTTTATCGGCGGAGCAGTGTAATCTGGAACATTAAGAAGTCTTTCTGGCAAGAAAGATTGCGTTCCGGCTAGTTCGCAAGCTAGTCCGGGACAATTCGCTTTACCCGCTGTCCAATGAAATCGACGACGCTCTCCCTCTCTCAGCGAGGAGAAGATTCGCGAGAAACTTTCCGCTATGGATAGCGGTGCACATCGAAGTTCCAGCAGCCGTAAGATTAGTCGTTCGACACTCTTCGAAACGCTTCGCGGACCATTCGCCAAGCACTGCCACGGTCATAACGCGAAACTTCTCCAACTTGTTGCCCGCCGCGGGAACTTTTTCCCCGGGCACGGTACACAAGGCTGTAAAATTGCCCCCGTGTCCCTACACGGCGATAGTTTTTTTTTTTTTTCCCAGTGGCGTTCGCGAACCGGTTCCAAGGCGTCTAAACAACTTTCGCAACTTGTTGCCCCGGACTCTCTCTTCGTGGCATTGGCACTTAAAATCGCTCGACCTCGCCGCTTTCTCGTCGCCTCGTGTTTCTTTTCTACGGCGGCACGTAACAGCGGAGTCTCGCTAATTTACGTGATTGATATCGAGTATATCGGTCGATCTATATTTTTCTCTGCGAGACACGTTTTGTAAGAAAAAAAAAAAGAAAAAAAAGTTGGATACTGATATACAGAATGTAGCGGTAATTTCTTCAATTTAGTATTTAAAGCTGCAAAAATATCAAAAGCGGAGCGCTTGCTGTTTCTCAAATTTCTCAGACCACGTTTCTTCAATTCTACTCATGAGAATTTGAAATTGCGTCTGTCATTTCTTCTCTTTTAATTTCCGCGTATGATCAATTTCTTTCTACAGTACTTGTCAAAATTTGACAAAAAAAAAAAAAAAAAAAAGAAAAAAACAGTTGCCTCGAAAAGGATAGATTTAAAGCTCAAGCGCGCGCGCAAATCACCGTGGCAGATTGAACGCATCGGTCCGGCTGAAAGTTACAACGGGAGTTGGATGTGACTCATAGCCGCGAGGACGCCATCCATCCTTCGGGGAGACGAAGAAGCTGCTGCTATCGACCTCGAACAAGCTCAAGGCTCTTTCCGTACGTCAGCCTGGAACACAACGACGTAGCGCAACGACGGAGAGCACGGGTCTCCTTAAACTTTAAACTCAGGGCCCTCGGGAGAGACAGCGGCAGAGAAAGAAGGAAGAGAGTTGGCCGGAGACCTAGCCAGCGGGCTGAGGTGAATATTTCAGGTGACTCGAGTGTCCTCTAAAATACGCCGATGAATCCGTTGGTGGCTGTA